TCGTTTTAGCCGCCCTTCTTGGTTTCTTTGCTCTTTCTCTCTCTCTCCCTCCAGTGTCCGAATATATATGTATATCTATCTAATTTGAAATGCAGAAAGTGTTGGTTAGATGCAAGTTAAAACAAACAGACCTAGAAAGAGAAAGAGGAAGCGAAATTGCCACGAACACGCCACGAGTGAAGTAATCTCAGACGAACTCGAAAAAACGAAAAGAGTAACATGAAAGAGGCAAAGAGAAGAAGAAAAATATGTAAACATTTAATGTTTTTAACGACCTTGTACACAGCGGAAGAACGTGTAAATATATGGATAGATTATCATAAACGCGGGCATAAACATTTAATGTTTTTAACGATCTTGTACACACGGATTACACGTAAAATGTAAATACATCTGAAAATATTGAAGAAGCAAGACACATGAAATTGATATCTGATAGTACTTACTTTCTTCTCTCGATTCCCTTTCTCCCTTTCTTCTTCCGTCCTTTTTCCCTTTTTCCTCTTGTGAAAAAAGTATCTGCACCAATGGCCGGAATCGTTCTCGCTGCCGCGATTAGCGTTAGAGAAAGAACGTGGAAGAAGCGTTTTCCTTCTTTATCCTTCATCCTTTTACAAGTACATAAACGGTACGGCAATTCAGCGAACAAGTTACGCGGCGCCGTTGACGCTTATCGCACAAAGAAACGTGGGAAACGTTATCTGCGTTTGCTAATGAGCGATACCTGGCTCACGATGACTGGTAAGTCAGATATAATTGCTGTTTGCATTATGTCCTATTGTACCAATGCGGGTCACCGATTCGTCACGTGGACACCGTGGGACACGCAACAGTGCATTTAAAGAAATCGCGTGGATCCTCTTCTTGTAAAAACGACTTCGTCAATTTCCCCTCGTCATCGTGTGCACCGCACGATGAGTGAGACAAAGAAGGAAGGAGGATAATCTGGATAAAATTCGATCGAAGGCGCCGAGACAATAAAGGAGACCGTAGTATCAATTGTCACATATTATTATTGCTAAAAATGCAGCGGCGGGGAAAAGTGGAATAGATTCCTTATTTATTTCGTCGAGATTTGCGGATACGCCATTAATCGGTATGACGTATCTGTCCCTACGTACAATGCGTTAATCAAATCTTTTTTTTCAATTCGGCATTACCGCCCGGGAGACGAGGAATCAACAATTCAATCGTCAGCGTGACCAAACGTAATTGAACGTCTGTGTTTTCCGTTGAAAATAAAATATCTATAAATATTATTGCCGATTTGCTTCCTCCTTCCAGAATCTCGGATAATATTTACAGATAATTGCGTAAGATTCGTATAACGGATAGTTTATACACTTCGATGATTATAATTCGCGCTCGTCTCTTTCCGCGCAAGAGCCTCGTATGGAACTAACTTGCCGGCGAAGATCAATCAAAAGCGGGAACGTTACACGGAGTCCGTTGGTTCACGTTATATATCTTACGTGTATCGCGGCGGAGACACAAGGAGTTCCTCACTTCTCATTCGATTAAATACCCCTTAATATCGGCGTCGGTGCTGCGAAAGGGAAAAAGAAAACGATATCACGATCGCAACGTAAAGATATATTCACGAGAAGCCATATATCCGTCCCCTATTGATCTCCACGCTTGTGTGTTGTGTGTGCATGTATGTGTGTCACAAGTGTATGTGTGTGTGTGTGTGTGTGTTGTCGCCTAATTAAAGTAGAGAAATAGTTCTGTTTCGATTGTGCACGGGGTTGTACTTTACATAGGTATTATTATTTTAAAAGTAACAATATTTCAATCTGACTAACAAGAGCCCAATGCTGGATGTAAGTGTACAAAAATTTTTTTTAAATGTAAGAGAAAAAGACAAGATCAGACAAAGAAGAATCCACGCGGCTCAAATCCGGAAACCAAATCTAATAAATAAGAGAAAAATTTTAAGAGCTGAAGAACATAAATGTTTCGGTTTTAACTTTTTTTCTCTATCTATTTATCTCTGTGTCCTAACTGTCGATGTTAATCGTGTTCTCAGTATCAGAAAGTATTCTTTTCTTCCATATTTTTCACGCGTGAACATCCCGTGTTTGGCTCTTATAGGGCAAGCTGAAGTATCGTTACTTCTGATTATTATTTTGAAGTCCGCCCCGAGGCGGCCGCGTCACCGCGGCCGGCACGACGCAATCTAATCGTTAATCACAATCGTCGAATATGTACAAGAGGATTCTGTACAGGGATTCGTCCGCTCGTTCACGTCACGCACCCATCACGCGCTATCACGTACAAATCCAATTATTACACGTAAGGTATATCGCCAAACTTTTACGATGCCAAAAGGTAATTCGTTCATAGACTAATACGCGCCGAACAAATCGTCATCGTCGTCGTCGTCGTCACTGTCGTCGTCGTCGTCAACGACGTTTTCGATCTCATCGTCGTCTGAGGAGAACGCGGCGTTGCGCTCCGCCGCACGCTCGTCGAATCGCCCACAAAACATTCAAAATGTGCAACGGGCGGCTGCCTTCGTTTAAGGAAAGAACACAAAATTACAGAACCAAATGTGTACAATCGAATGTAACCGTTTGGCCGACAGTCTAATTTTACGCGGCGAATTATACGTCGTGGCGCTCTTTTATCTTGGCGACAACGTAAATTGCACCGAAAGACATTCCTCGGACGTTCGCGTTATCATTCGAAAGAAATACACAACAGACGCATTGGCAAAAGGCGACGGGAACGCGAAGAAATGTCCCTGCGAACAAGCGCAACTGCGACGTTTCTCTCGCGGCTAATTAGGAGACACTATTCCCAGGTCCGTATTCGTAGTTGTTACTTGAAGTTTGTTTCAACTGGGATTTTCAGACTTGAATATCGAGTTTGATGAATTTTTCAGAGTTGGCGATTACAAATGTAACACATGTTACATTTGTAATACACGATTCACCTGAAAAATTGAAATCTAACTTTGAATTTTCAGGTCTGACTACCTCACGTGAGATAAGTTTCAAGTGACGACCATTCATCTCAATGATGGGTTTACCTTTCTTCTCTCGGGATACCGTTTGGCCGTTTGCTCTTAGGCGCGCGCGTTACAGTCCTACGGCTTTTACGACAGCTACAAAATCTAACATCACCGTTTGCAAAAGGCTCCTCTCTCGTCTCTTCGCCACGTCGGCGCACATGCGAACCGCACCGGTATAAACGTCGTTCTCACTGTCCGTCCGTCCGTCTGTTCGTACATTCGTTCGTTCGTTCTATCATCGGCAGGCTCTCTCTCTCTCTCTCTCTCTCTCTCTCTCTCTCTCTCTCTCTCTCTCTTTTTTTGT